GCCCATTAAATGTCCGGATGGCTGGGTTGCATATGCCCAGCACTGTTACCATCTTAACAGAAACCCCAAGACATGGAAAAGTGCACTGTCAGCCTGTCGAAGGTCAGGTGGGGATTTAATTAGTATACACAACACTGAAGAATACAGCTTTGCCATTTCTCAGCTTGACTACAGTAAGTATATCCAGAAAGCTGCATGGACCTGAGATTAAAAACAACAACATGGGCTTATTTTTCTGATGTCCTTTTTGGTGGCAGAAGGCATAACAAGGGGAGGACACTTTCTGTCATAATGTCAATAATTTCTAGCCAGAATGAGGCACAAGTAACTCAGACACTGAAGACAAAATGTGCTTTCAGAGCCGTTCAAATGTCCACCTCTTTTATATTATTTTCTTCATCATTGACATTTTTCTGCCTTAGAGCTATGCATGAACATGTATAATGAGTTATTTCTATGAATTTTTCCTACTTCCCAATGTGCATACCACAGAGCGATGTTCTGGAGGATCCCATTCAACACTTGGAGCCTTCCGATACTAAGAGTTAGACCGCATGTTAAGGCAAATCTGTATTTCCTGACCAATATACAGGCTCTTCTGAATTAAGTCTGGGGTCAAATAGCAACATGCCTTTCTCTTCATAGAAACAACAGATATCCTGTGGATAGGACTGAATGACCAGAAGAGCCCAATGTATTTTGAATGGAGTGATGGCAGTAGAGTGAGATTTACCAAGTGGCAGCGAGGAGCACCTACACACATCAATAATGTGCAAGAAGATTGTGTTGTCATGAGTGGAGAGGTAAACAGAAGGAACCAGTGCTATGTCTAGTAGAGATGTATTTCCCTTGCACCCTCTTTTATGAAAAAGGAGATTCCTCAGTTATGCATCAGTGCTCGGGTGGGAAAGGCTTCTCAGGAGTCAGATGGATTGCTGAATAACGTTCTCAGTCCTTCACGGTGAGACTTCAGTAGCATAGCCCTTTGCTACTTCCCATGGTTACGGAGAAATTTCTTTAATTATTGGTAGCAACCTGGCAATTTTGGCACACATCTTTATGGAGGATATAAATTTCAGGAAAGTGCAGGCTTAATAGACATTTTGTGAAACTGTCCAACTTGTGCAGAAAAAGAATGCTTTCCATTGAAATAAAAGGCAACAACATTTAAGAGACGTGATGTAATGAATTATTTCGCCTGAGATTTAAGATTTCTTTGCATTCCTATGTCTAGAATGGATATTGGGCCGATTATTCCTGTGAAGAGGAACTTGGTTACATTTGTAAAAGAGAACCTTTGGCATTTCTTCCGGAAGAAGCTGAAACAGTTGATCCAACATGCCAAAAAGTAAGTCTAGAGTGAAGCGTCTGGTAGTGAATGAACCAATGGCTTGGCACAGGTAATTCTTACATTAAAGCAGAGGCATCAACAGCCGTTTTGGAACTTGGGATGAGAAACACTGTTTTCTACTTCCCCACGCTGGGGTAGGGCATGAGGTTGTCCGTAAGAAAAAAAAGAGGACAATGTTTCCCTCTAGTAAGAGAAGGTTTAGGCTTTCAAAAAGAAAGGAAGAGAAGTAATAAGCCTGGACATGTTGCAGTTTATTAGTGTAACACTCACCAATAGATTGATACCCAATCCCACTGGTTCAGACTCTTAGAAACACTCAACATGGCCAGTAAATGATCCTCTTCATTGCACAAAGTCCTGCTTCATTCCCAAGATGTGAGGTCACAAACAATCATCCTATCCTTCAAGTTATAGTGAGGGAGATTTGTGTTATGACTACATTGCTGCATAATCTGATGGAGAACCTTGGAAGTCATCTGGCGATAAAAGAAACGTGGCATTTATTTCATCATGGGATACATTTTAAGGCAACTTTCTCTTGAATTAACATGATTGTTAAATGAATTAAATGAAACTGATATGTCATGTGACATTAATATTGTAGTAACTGTGGCTGCCGGTTCTTTTATATTGACAGGGCTGGAAAAGGCATGGTTTTTACTGTTATTTAATTGGGCAGACATCTGCAACATTTTCAGAAGCAAACACATTCTGCGAAGCCAACAAGGGATCTCTGACTTCTGTGGAGGACAGGTATCGGAAAGATCTTCCTGAAATCAAGAGGAACACAGCAAAAGATAAGAATTTAAAAATAATCATAGCTGCAATGGCTGAAATCCTTCAGTACGGCTCTGCCAGTGCCATGGAAAGGACATCAATACCAGCAGCAGACTTCTTTGGCTTCCTTTGTGATGGGGGTGGTGCATGTGGCTCATTCAGTATGCAAAGGAAGTAAGCATCATGCACCCCAAAATCAAAAAAGGAAGCCTTTTGGTGCTGAGAGTGACACCATGCCCATTGTGCAAGCGGGGCTGCTCAACAGGATTTTAATCAGTGTATTTCTTTGAATGTCATAACATTGCCAATCCTCTACTTTACAAGAATTTAAATTCTTTGTCATTAATTTTCTGATGCTCCTTGGCTTTATAGACTTTCTAAAATAGATAAATGCTTTCTGGAATGACTTGAATCTGTAACAATAAGCTCCACATT